TACCCACCACACATACATACACACACACATACAAATACCGACCAGGTACCACATATTAGGCCAGTAGGGATCGTTGAATGCTCTCATATTGGAGATATCTCTCTTTTTTCTTTTTTTAACTATTTGCTGTTCAGCCCACAGAACCTTCGTTTGGAGAGAAAAATGATTGAGCAAGAGATGGACGGAAGAAAGATGATCAGATGGAATTGAATAAATGAATAAAAAAATGAATGGATGAATGAATGAATTAATGAATGGATGAACGAATGAATGAATAACAAACGAACGTATGAATGAATGAATGAATGAATGAATGAATGAACAAAGCAAACAAACAGATAAATTAACACCTTTTCATTACTCATTAGGGATGAATGATGATAATCATTAGCCTCTAAAGACCTCTTCATGATTCTTGGATGTTGAAACTTGTAATAATCAGGCATTATCTGTCATATATGTGTGTTTGTGTTACAGCTTATAAATATAAATACAGTTATAATTATTATTTATATAGAATATATTAATATCATTAAATTAATAATCAGATGTTGGTAAACTGCAACAAGCCCTATGGTTTAACGATTTCAATTTATAAAATATGAGATACAACTCTTCTGCCAACTTGCTAAATATATATTGCTGTATAACAAAACAAACAATGAAAAGATTCATTTATTAAATTAGTAAAATGACCAAAAAAAAAAAAGAAATTTATTGACCTCTCCTAGATAAACAAATCCGTGATCTTTGGCTACCTCCCTGGCCACGCCCTCCCCACCTTCAATGTTGACAGCCCATTGGTTGAGATAATGTGACTGACATGTTGTGATAACCAATAGGAATGCCTGTACCAGACTGCATAATTTAATTAACATATTTTTCCCCTTTGGTTAGTTATGGAGTTGTTGGTGATGGTAAGGATACTTCCCAATTAGTAAGTTTTAATGAGTTAGGAATGAAGTTTTGGTCTCTTTAGTTAAATTATTCCTGTTTAATTTTTTTTTATTTTCAAATCCAGCTTGCCCTTTTTTAATTGTTAATTAATTCAGTTGCTTCATTCTGTCTTCTGAAAAATTAAACAAATTTGTTAATAAAAAAGACTAATTAATAACAAAGATGAATAAATGGAACGTTTTCCTCACTCAATAAGAAAATAAAACACCATCCATCTCTGCACAATTGAATACATAACCACAAAATGTGAACAAATGAATGTATGTTGATTGGCAATTTGAGTGCTTTATAAAAAAAACAACACATTATAAAAAGAAATCCTATAGAAAAATATTTTATTCATTCAGCTAATATCAATCTAAAATTCTGAATTCCTAATTTCTGCTTTTGTTTATCCATACCAAAAAGAGAAAAATATAAAATTGAACTTTGGATGAAAATGATATAGAACTTTTTTATGAAGTTAATAAGAATGCTGTGTAATAAGCCAACCAGCTGTTAAGTGATGAGAAGAAAATTTAATTTAAGAACAAAACAACAACTAAGAGTATAAAGATATTTATGCAATTAGCAATTCATTGGAAAAACTTATGTTCGCATGAATGTACGCACTGATAGCTGAAAAATTGTTTTCACTTTTTTGAAAAATTACAAACTAAAATGTAATACATATATATTACATAACTATAAAGTTTTACAAACAAATTAAACTAATTAAACATATCTCTCTCTCTCTCTCTCTCTCTATATATATATATATATATATATAAAATACCCAATATATTTATATATATACATATATTAAGACTGTATATATATATATATATATATATATGTAATATATACATAAATATATATATCATATATTGTATATATTCTTTATATATATAAATATATATATTCTATACTATACAATACAATATAAATATATATTTTATAATACATATTTATTTATTCAACATATACATTTCCATAGGTGTATGATTGAGTAAATGTTAAATGAGAATATAATTATTACTATAATTTATAATATAATTAATTTAATATTTAAATATAATTGAATACAAACTGACAAATATACATATTATATATAAAATATATATATATATATATACATACATATGATTAGTCTTAATCAGTAAATGTAAAAATTTATGCGCATAAGCACGGGAAAAACCCCGTTCCTAACGGCAACACTAACAAAGGGAAGTAACACTGATAACTTCGGAAAAAAAAATTTCACTTTTTTGAAAAATTACAAACTAAAATGAATTTAGTGTAAATGATTATAAAATAATCAAATACAATTCCAAATTTTTTAATGCCAAACTCACAGCGTTTCAATATTTTAATAATTTTATACAATTATTTACGTTTATCTTCTTTTAATCGTCACACAGACGAGGGCGCGTTCTTGTTTCTATTGAACAATTATGAACTAAATTGTGTGATTCATACATTAAACAGTAAAAATATAATTTACCACACATATGTAATATGTAATTTATATATTATATACATAATAAATTAACGATTAAAACGCACGATAAGTCAAATGTTGAAAAAGATTTGAGTGAAAGATGATTAGTTAGGTTAAAAATGTCTGTAGTGAATCCTGAATCCAAGTGAATCTTCATAATCACCATTCTGTGTTTCGTTTAAAAGTAAACTGCAAAATTTGGTTTCAGAGTAAATAAAAATGATTAAAATTGAAACGGATCATGTAGAAAATGAAAAAAGTTGGAAAGATTTTTACAATTTGGAACTTAACTATTCGTATAAATTATTAAATTTAGATTTAAAAACAAACGCGAAGACTGTTGTAGAGTATACCTACAATCCACTGGAGTATGCTTCTGAACTTCATTGTATGTTTCTTGAGAGGTTCTTCAAAGCACCAACCAAGCTGTTATTTGTCGGAATGAATCCCGGACCTTATGGTATGGCGCAGACTGGGGTTAGTCGTGTGCCTCATGAAGCAATATATATAATATAAGATATCAATGATATCTGAAAATTAGAATTATATAATATCCTAACTAATGCTAATCTATTCTATTTCTAAGACATGAAATGAATGGTGTCCTTATAGAATTTTTATATATTTACTTATATGTATGTTTGTTTGTAAGTTTAGTTTTTTATTTTTAGCTTAATTAGTAAGTTTTTTATATATTAGTTTTTCTTTAAAGTATTAAATTCTCCATATTATTTTTTTTTATTCTATGGTTTTTTTAAACTATTAAATATGATATAATATACTAACACTCTGCTGACACTGACTAACTAATATTACTAATTCTTTGAAAAGTGTTTTTTTTAAATAATTAAATACAAATATTTATTAATTAAATAAATAAAAGGTACCATTTGGTGATGTAAGATCAGTATTTAATTGGATGAAGATCAATGGTTCTGTAAGAGTTCCAAAGAAACAGCACCCCAAGAAACCTGTCCAGGGTTTAAAATGCACTAGAAATGAAGTACCAAGTTTTAATAACAATTTTAAAAATTAATTTAAGTTTAAATTTTTTTTAATTAAATTGTAAAAGAAGAGAGAGCTGATTGATAATGACATTCTATTACTTTTTAATTCAATTTTTCATCTTTTAAATTAATTTTTCAGAATAAATTAATAATTTAAACGTAAAAAAGTCCATTTTAACAAAAAGGTCAGTGGGGAGAGGTTCTGGAGAATGTTCAGTCAAACCTTAAATCTGACACCTGAGGAATTTTTTGAGAACGCTTTCGTTATTAACGTTTGTCCTCTACTGTTTCTCGACAAGAGTGGCAAAAACATTGCACTGTCTACACTGCCAGCTAAATTGAGAAACGAGGTTTGATGATGATATGACCTCTTTTAGGTTATTTTTCTTTTTAGTTTAGTAATTTATTATTAATAATATATTTTTTTAAACATTCATGCTATTCAAGAATGAATGGTTTGAATAGATAGATGAATTAACTGAATGATTGATTGGCTGGTTGATTGATTGATTTTAAAGTAATTATCCTCCAGGTTGAACTGCTCTGTCATGAGTTGATGCTGAAAACATTAGAAATTCTTCAACCCCATCACGTTGTTGCCATCGGCCAGTATGCCCATGACCAAATCAAAAAAATGTTGAAAAGCGAATCTCACCTGATGTTCACGACTCAACTCTGCAATTTTGATACAGTCATTGTTGATATCGGTGAAACAAAGTCCGAAACAATGGGTGCTATTATAAATGGTTGTGAGATGAATGAAACGTCATCGTCGTCGTCATCATCATCTCCACCACCACCACCATCATCATCAACAGCATCATCTGAGATAACAAAATCAAATGGAACATCAACAAATATAATAGAACCAGCAACAGCAAAAACAGTGGCAACATTGCCAACAACATTAATAATAACATCAACAACATTAACAACGACATCAACGACAACAACAACAGCATTAACAACGACACCAGTGACATCACAACAGACCCACACACAAATTTTTAATCGACCAATCCTGACTTGCCTAATGCACCCAAGCCCATCCAATCCACTGGCCAATAAGGGATGGTCAGACATCGCCAAGAAGCAATTATCGGAGATGGGCGTTCTCAAATATTTCAATCGATGATCCCAATGTTAATCATCAATTCGATGTTTTATTTTAATTCTGGAGTGTATATAATTTGGTTTAGTCGTTTTTTTCAAATCTAAATTTTGTATTGTATAATTTATCTATACAGGTTGAGTATCTTCATTTTTGTCTATGTACCTTTTGATTATTTTTTAAAATATTCCAATACTTTTGTGTATGTTGGATTGTTTTTTTAGAAGATTTCGATAAAATTATTCCTCTAGATTGTAAATAAACTCAAATAATTTTAAGAGGTGGCTATTAATGAAGAAAATTTGTATATGTACATTTATACAGTTTACTACATTCTGTAAATTTTTACATACCTTCTCAATGAATTGTTGGGTCGATTTGTTGTAAGAGAAATAGAAATAGAAACGAATTAAAACGATTTATATTCATCTACTCCCATGTAAATTGATCACATAAACACACACACAAACACACGCGTGTACATTATTAATCTTTGAAAAATTAAAAATACCTCTATTTTAAAGAACTAAACAGACAAAATCATATCATCATTTCGATCACATTTTAACGCGTTATTTTCTTTCTTCCTTTCTTTTACAATCATTCAACTAAAAAGGACTGTAGAAAACATAATTGTATCAATATCAAGGTATACAGACACGCACACACACGTAAATATATATATATATATTTATAAATATATATATATATATATTTATAAATATATATATATATTTATATGTGTGATAATGACATTATAAGGCCACTAAAAAATGAAATCAATAAAAAATTGACGGCGGTAATGATGGTAGTAGTAAAATTAACAATAAAAATAACAATAAGAGTATTAGTAGTAAGATATTTGTAATAAAATTCGATCCTTAAAATAGCGTTAACTTAGTATAAAATTTAAAAAAAAAATGGAAACGTCTTGTCGGCGTTTAAAAGTTACCAATACAGCTTAAAATGCACAGGCAAAACAAAACACACACACATATACACACGCATATGTATATATATAAATCCATGCAAATTTGGTATAAAACACACACGCACATACATACATACATACATACATACACACACATCAAGCATTATTATATACATACATGCATACATACATACATACATACCTATATTGCAATAATATTCACTCACTTGAAAAACGAATCATATAGAAACGGTCAGATCCAACTATAAATAATAAACGTAATAGCAATAATAATAATAATAATGTCACAACTATTTGCATACAAAATATGAAGAAGAAGCGGAGGTAAGCATAGATCAATTACATTATCTGATCATGGAAGATTGTTGCCATCTTGTTTTAACATTAATATAAGCAATCACATCTGCATTAGCATTATGAAGATTAAATAAACATAATAATATTAATAATGATAATTAATATCATATCAGCAGAGCAATCAAACGTTTATCAATCAATCAATCAATGATAATAACAACAACAACAATAATAATAACGATATACAAGTACTATTATTATTCCTATTATTATCATCATCGTCGTCGTCGTCTCTTCCATCATTACTCTTGTTATAAAAAGCAGTTTATATTATACCAAAATAGATGTTTGCTATATATATATATATATATATATATATATATATATATATATATATATATATATATATATATATT